CATAGAACTACACACAGAGTAGAAAAGAAATAACAGTAAAAACTCAAGGTAAAGAGAGATTCTAAAAGAATAACATTAGTGTATGTAGCTTCCAACTAGTAAACATGGGATAAGAATATAATTAAACAAAAATCCTCACTAAATTAAGAAATGGAAAGGTAAAAAGCAACAAAATAAAATGTAGAAACAACATAGAAGAAAAATATAGGATAAATAGCAAGTGTTTCTAAAAGGCAAGAACTGTCCAATAAAAAATTAATGCAGATTAATTACAAGAGCCCACTAAAAGTCAAAGATTGTCAGATTAGAGGCAAAAAAGAACATTTTGTGTTGGTCAGCTTTTTGCCACTGACACAATTCCTAGGGTGAACAATTTAAAGGGGGAAAGTTTAACCTTTGCTCATAGTTTCAGAAATTTTTAATCCATGATTATCTGGTTCCATTGCTTCTATGGCTGTGGTGAAGCAGAACATCATGGTGGGGACCATGTGGTGGAGAAAAGCAGCTCGCAATACAGCAGACAGGAGGCAGAAAGAGAGAGGTCCCTTGATAGCCTTCAAAGGCATTCTCCTAGTGATCTACTTTAGCTAGGTGCTACCTCTTAAAATTTCCACCAGTTTCCAATGTGCTACCACCTGGGAACCAAGACTTCAGTACATGAGTCTGGGGAATATTCCAAATTTCTGGCCCCCAAAGGCTTATGCCCATCTTGTAATGCAAAATGCCTTATTCTGTCTTCAAGAGTTCCTATAGTCTTAATTTTGTCCTTACTCAAAAGTCTCCTCTGAGAGCCAAGGTAAACATTTAGCTGTACACCTCATACATAAAAATGCAAAACCAACCAACCAACAAACAAGTGACATAATTCTAGCACACTGGCATAAGGTAAACCATTTTACCATGTTTACCATTCCAAAAGAATACAATAGGAAAATATGAAGGAAGAATGGGACCGCAGCAACACTGGAACCCAGGAGGACAAACCTTAAATGTTGTAGCTCTATGTGTGAAATTCAGGGCACACAGTGATGTGATGTAAGCTCCAAAGGGTGTGGGCAGCCCTACTCCTATAGCCTTGCTGGTTGCAGCCCACATGACTTCTGTCTTGGGCTGGCTCTGCTTGCTGCCTGCAGCTTTTCTTGCCTGGTAGTCTACATTCCTGACATCTCTAACTTCCTGGAGTCTACACTGTAGCTTTAGATTCACTCTCATAGCATCATGCATGACCTTATTAAGTGTTGCCCACAGGGCTTGTGATCTTGCCACATATTGCCTGGCCTCCCAGGCCTTCCTATGGCATTTGGGTGGAAGCATCCCTCACCCTACAATTTTTGCATTCTACATCCGTGCAAAAGTATCACATGGACTATGCCAAGGTCCGGCACCAGTGGCAGCAGTAGCCAGGCCCCTTTGGACCATGGCTGGAGTGGCTTCTGAATGCTTGGATGGCTGAGCATGAGAAAGTAAATCCCAGGAAATCAATTCCTTCCTAGAGCCTGTGTGAGCAGAGTCCTCTAGCTCTTTCTTCTCAAACACCAGTCCTTCAAATGAGTTAGCAATTTTACACCCTTGAGCCTGCAAAGGGTGAGGTCTGGAATCTTTCCTATTGTCCCAGTACAAAGTACTTGACTTCTTTTTAATGGTGCCAATCTCTTCAGCAACTACCTTCATTGGGCTCAGCTTCACATGTGCTTTTGTTTCTAGCCAAACGGCAAGCTTTTCAACTCTTTCTGTTCTGTTTTTTATGCCTCATTCTTACTGTAAACCTGGCTAAAACAAACAAAAAAAGCCAACAATATCCATGCCACAGCCTGAATGCTGTGCTACCTTGAGATTTCCTCTGCCCAATTAATTAATTCATCAGCATTAAATTCAATCTCCCACAAAGTCTTAGGGCATGGACCAAATGTAGACAAGTTTTTCTTTTTTTTGCCAGAATGTAACACAATTGGCCTCTAATCCAATTCCCAGTAGAGTCCTTGTTCCCATCTGAAATCTCACAAGCACAGTCTTTACTGCCTACATTCCTATCAGCATTCTGGTCTTCTAAGCATCCATCAGAATCACTTATCAAGCACTGCTTACAGCATTCTAGGGCTGCTTCTCCAGCTAGCACCTCTAAACCTTGCCAAACTCCTCCTTGAAACCAGTTCCAAAGGCTTCTGAGGTACATGGTCAGATATAGTCACAGCAATGGGGCCCCATTCCTGGTGCCAATTTTCTGTGTTAGCTTTTTTGTCCCTGAGACAAAATACCTGGCATGAACAAATTAAGGACGAAGGTTTATTTCATCTCCCAAGTTTGGAAATTTCCATCCATGGTCACTTAGCTCTGTTGCTTTTGGGCCCATGTGAGACAGAACATCGCAGTGGGGAGCTAGTGGTGCAGCAAAGTGGCTCACCTCATGGTGGACAGAAGGCAGAGGGAGAGAAGAGCAGAATGGGCCAGGGTTCCATTGTTCCCTTTAAAGGAATGGTCCTTGGACTTGCAGAGCATTCTACAAGTGTTAATGTTCCTCTCTCCCTCCTTTTCTTCCTTCCCTCTCTCTAAGCTCCTGAGCTTCAGTCCCTCCCAGGCTCTGAACTAGTTGTCCTGCAGTCATTATAAATGTCCATTTTCTTCTCTATATTTGGACCTGGTTTAAACATCACACTTTTGTGGGGTGCCTGCCAGGTACCTGGCATTGATTCAGGGCTGCACAAGACTGAGGAGAGAGCTCTCCATTGGCTGCAGGGAATCAAGGAAGTCTTCTTAAAGAAAGGGATGACCTTGAGCTGCAGTTGGAGTGGGGAGGGAGAGACATGGGGAAATGGAGCCTGTGTGTGGAAGCCATGCCTTAATGGAAGCAGTGTGGAACGTGGGTAGTAAGGTGCCTGGGCCTCTGCAGGGAACGCACCTGGCCTGGCAGGGCCCTGGAAGGCAGTTGCCCCAAGTTCCTGAAAGCCAAGTCTCTTCTCACAACAACCTGCATGGTTTGCTGTAATTCATCCATGGTGCCCCAGGGGAAGGCATGAGACCAAGTCTCCTTGTAGAATCTTGTAATAGCATGCTTAGCAACTCTGTATTTTAATGCTGAGTGCCAGGAGTGGCCACATCCCATGCAGGGTGCAGGCAGGACCCTTGAAGAAGGGCCGGGATCTGGGCATGGAGCTGCAAGCCATGTGGGAACATGCCTGAGGGAGGTGAGTGTATGTTGGGGTGGAGGCAGCTGCCTTTTAATTTGGAGACCAAATAGGTTAAATAAACAGCAATTGGATTTTACTGAGGCCTGAGCTTCGCGTGATGTCCCTGGGTACAGGGAACACTGGAGAATCTCATTTTTGTGATCAGATTGTTATAGATTCTCTCCCCAGACTGCTGAGAAATGTAAATGTGAATTGTGTTTTCAGGGCCTGTTAAAGACAGCTTGTTGGGGGCAGGGGAATGGCCCTGTCTGAACTCAATCCCCTTAGCCTTGGGCCCCCAAGCTGTGCCCTTTCCTGACTATAGAGGTCCCCAACAGTGTCCACTTGACCAGTCCTCCTCTGAGAGAATATAGAGCAGAACAATAACCCCAGGCAAAGATCTAAATCAATCTGCCCATGTTTAATAAATACCCAGCTCTCAATGCAGGGAAAGAGAGTCTGGCAAAGTTGTCCCTCTTTTGGCCCAGGGGCCCTAAATTCAGAGTATATGACAAGCCCGGCTCCTGAGCTCAGTCTTACTAGCTAATCTCAGAGTATCCTTAGCTACTTTGGAGCATCTTTGAACTCAGGCAGACTGCGCTCAGGCCTGGCTGTGCCATGTCTCAGTTCCTGTGACTGGGTGGGACTCCACCACCTAGCATGGCTGCAACATGGGTTTTGCGGTGTTGTGGGAGGCTCTGCTGTCCCTGGGCATGGGGTGTGAGCAGGGTCAGGTGTCAAGTGTGCTAGGCCTGTGGCCTCCATGGAGCACCCCAACCCTATGCTGTGCTCTGTGTCTGAGGTCTCCTGGGCTCTGAGCTGGGTGGGCTCTGGGGGTTCTAAGGTGAAGACATAAAATTTCTAACTTTTGTTAGTAGTGACCTAAGGCTAAGAGAGATGTGTGGAAAGTGCAGTGTCTCCTTCCAAATGCCCGGCCATCTGCCTTGGTCCCGGAAGGAGCTTCTACTCAAAGAGGTGGGCCTTAGCTTAGAGCTGGTGGGACCCCTGCCTGCTGACCCTTGCCTGTGTCCTCCCTGCTGTGCTATCCAAGCAAATGTTGCTTCCTTTGGCTCTAATGACCAGGCTGGGGTGGGGAGTGGTGGCACTGTGAGTGGCTGGCTGTGACATTCTTGCTTTATGGACTGGGCTCAGGGAGTGTCCTTGAGGCTCATTAGAATCTGCCACAGAATGGCTACACAAATGCCAGCGCTGTGAGCCAGAGGTTGGAGGATAAATCACTATGGCCTAGATAATTTGGAAAGGCCTTCTAGAGAGGGGAGATGGGAGGATCAGGTCACCTCCCTGAAAGTGGGGACCTAGAGGGGACAGAACTCCCAGAGGTTGCCTGGGCTGGCCAGAGCAAAGCAGATGCCTGGCAGCTCCAAGAGACCGCTCCTGGCCTCCTGCTCAGCCCAGCTGCTCAGACTCTTGGGGTCAGCTGTGTAGGAGACCTCAGGCTTGGGGACAGTTCTGCCCACTGAGGTGGTGTTCCTCAGAATCACCCCTGCAAGAGACTCTTTCTGCTCCCCCTTACCCCATGTTTGCATGATTTCTACTAAACACTGCTGTTGGCGAGGAGGCTGGGCCCAGAAAGAGGAAGTCCTTGTTCAAGGTCACCTCTAAAGTGGGTGCTGAAATTGTCTCCTGCAGAGAGGTGATGTAGGGCCACCACTCCAGGCAGGGCGACTGTGTAGGGGGTGATTGGGGGCGGGGTGTATACGTGTGGGAAGCTCCCTTTCAAGGCAGAAACAATGCAGTTTTGAAGTGGTGGGGAACTGGGTTCATTTTCAGCAGCTGTATGCAAATTGCATGCAAATGAATCTGTTTTTCCTACAGTACCTGTGGCCCAGAGCAACAGAGAAGACCTTGGAAGCAGCCCTGGCATCTTGTCCTCCTTCAACAGAAGGGCCCCCTTCTTCAGAAAATGTGCTGAATAGGGGCAGAACCACTGTTTATTTAACAAATGAGGACTGTCCCTGGAGTCAGACTGAACTGGGTTCTAATTCCAGCTTGGCCAGTAACTAGTTGTGAGTGACTTTGAGCATGTTGTTTATTTATTGTGCATCTCATTTTCCTCTTTTGTAAAATATAATACTATTAATGCTTCATATGTAAAGCACTGAGCACGAGCTGTTGACAGAAAAGGTGGTGGTATTGGTGTTGGTGGTAAAGATTAAAATGTTGATAGTAGTAGTGCTAGTTGTGGTTGTGGTGATGGTAATGGTGATGGCGGAGTGATGGTGGTGGTCACAGTGATGTGGAGGTGATGCTGATAGTGTTTATGGTGATGATGATGATGATGGTGTTGGTAACTATGGTGATGATAAAGGTGCTGATGGTGGTGATGATTATAGTAATGGTAGTGAGCCCTCCATAATAGGCACTGTACAAAGCACTGGGTGAACTGAGACAAATAAGCTGTATCTGTCTTTGAGATGCTCGTATCTTATCAAAGGCCTCCCTGGGTGGGGTCAGGGGTCCAGCTTTTCTCACTGCCCCAGAGGCAGCCACTGGAGACCTCTTCTCAGGAGCTGCTCTGTTCACATTTGGTGACACTTTAGGCCTGCTTCCCCAATTGGCCTCAAGCTCCTGTAGATGGGCATAGGCTATATTTCTATACCATCCTGGCAGTCAGCACAGGACTGATCTCAAGGGGGGTGTCCAGGACACAACAAAGGGGCCAGTATGGTTTTCTGGGCTTCTTCTGGGGCAGGACTGGGCAGTGCATGGCATGGGACACAGAGCTGGCACCAGGAACCACTGGAGTGTGGCACCATTCTGCCAGAGGCTCTCCTTCCCTACTGCATTCTAACCCAGCCTGTGCTCTGTGCAGTAGCCTGAATTGCACCCACTTGGGAGGTGTGAGAATGACATGTGACAGGGCCTGGGACTTACCCTGATGCAGCAGTTGGCTGATGACAGGGCCAGAATTAAAATCTTGGTTTCACTAAGGCCACACTTTCCCCATTGACCTCAATACTTCTTACGAAGCTAGGAAGTCGAAGAAGGAAAGGGTGTTTTTCTGAAAGGCTGGTGGAGGGAAGGGGAAGCTCAGGGGAGGATGTGCAAAGGCAGAAGAAGGTATCCAACAGCAGCAGTCCTCAACCCAGCTTGCTGTGTACAGAGGGCCTCTGGGCCAGAGCTGTCTGAAAATGTGGAAGTGTACCACTGTTTGTGGAGGCCCACTGGGTGTGGTACTCAGAGTGGTAGACTTATGGCTGCATCAGGTGCAGCAGGGGGCAGCTGGGAGGTTAGAGGAGGGAAGGCCTCCTTGCCAGGAAGCCCAGCCCCATAGGGCATTAGAGAAGCCAGCTAGCTGTAGCCTCCGGTGCCTGGAAAACACAGCCAAGCTCAGCTGGCCCAGGCTCTGGCTGCTGCAAACAGATATGGATCAGTCTCATTAAAAAGCCTTAGTATGCTGCCAGACTGCACCTGGCAGGCTCCTGGGCCAGAGTGGGTGGCTCTCTGGTGGTTTCTGCAAGGGCAAAGGTGAAAAGGAAGCACAGAGTTTTATAGCTCTCTAAATGAAAAGCCAGAAATCTCTGCATGGAATTGATTTCTGTCTTCTGGAAAAGGCGGGGCATCTGCAATTGGCCCTACCATCTCTGTCCAGTCTCAAGTCTGGAGGGGTCTGGAGGTGGGCAGCAGGAGCAGCCAAGAGTGGGGAAACCTGAGTATCTTCATACCCCCTGTCCTGCACTCTGAAGTCCATGACAGCAATGGGTGACCCCATTTCCTCCGGCCCTCAGGAGAGACCTGGGTGACACCATTGTCATTACCACTTAGAGAAGAAGAGGTGGAGACTCAGAGGGGTCACTCATGATGCTGCAGTGCCCCCTAAGGCACAGAGCACAGAGGAGACTGCAGTGCCATGGGGGCCACTGGGCCAAGCACAGTGCTGGTCCCTCCAGCCTGGGAAGTTGTGCCCAAGCACTAGCTATGCCTTCCCTGCACTGGGGCATTGCCCTACCGTGATGGGACCAGTGAGGTATGTGTGTGCCGCATTGCACCACTTGTCACTCAGGAAATAGTCTCCACTGTCCCCACTTTTGTGATTGCTGCTGTCACTGATGCTGTTCCTGGTGCTAAGTCAGGGGAGCTGTTGTACTGTAGTGCTGGATGGGGCAGGTGCCCAGCCTGAGCAACTTCAGTGCCCTTTCTGCTCCACATTAAGTCCAGTTCCTGCCTGGGCTGGATGGCTCACCCAGTCCCCTCCCCAGTGTATCCCCACAAGTGGGCTCTGTGGTCTGAGGCCCTTGTCTACCCTCTTGTGTACTGACTCGGATGCCACCCTTCAGGATGTGGGGATGGGGCCAGGGATAGGACAGGGGCTGGGCTTGTGCTCAGATCTGTGGCTCTGTGTGTTCACCCTCCTGGGCAGGGCCTAATGGAGAACAGATGTGTCCTTACTGACTCACATGTGTCCCTTGAGCTAGGCAGGGCAGGCAGGAAGGTGGCCATTTTACAGAAGAAATGGAGGAGGGAGGTTAGGTGATCTGCCCCAGACACAGAGGAGCCAGGTAGAGACCAGGTACTATGGTCACTGCTGTGGCCTGGTCACTGCTGCCCCGAGGAGAGAGGACAGCAGGCGAGTGGCAGTCCCTGTGATATTGTCTGGGCAAGGCCTCCAGGAAGTAACAAAGCTTAGTGTCTTGTTGAGGCCCGGTAGTGTTACTCACTTGCTGCCTGATATTTGTGGTTGGCCTTTCCTCACTCCCTCTACCAAGTTTGGGAGCAAGAAGTGAAACCTGCAAGTGCCTGTCAGAGGGCACAGCACTTCTCTGGAGCACTGGGACTAGCCATGCCAACTCGAGCCTCAGGTTGGGGCAAGGACTCCAGCCTCATTTACAGATGAAGGAAAGAGGTCCAGAGAGGTTCAATGACTTGGGCTGGTCATACAGCAAAGGAGCGAGTCCTTTCCCCTCCCACTCCTACCAGTGCATTATTAATCCAGGTCTGCTCAGGAGGGTGATGCAGTGCCTGTTTACCTCTTGACAGCAGAAAGGGAAAACAATAAAATTAAACCAAACAAACTGCCCAGACATCAAACAAACCCTCTCTCAAAGTGCGTGCTCTGCAGTCAGAGGAGCCAGTCCCATCAGAGCCCTTGAAGAAAGGAAGAGCCACTGCTTTCACCGCCAGGTACCCAGAACTGGGCTGGCACCTCAGAAGGCAGAAGTGGTAGGCAGCACCACCCAGAGATGCGCAGGAGCACTCACCCTCACTGGAAGCACTTTTGCTGCCTGGAGCTGCTTGTGGAACCTGCACTCCACAGCCTTTTCTCTGCACTTGCTTGTCCCTCCAAATCAGGAAGAATCAGCTCTCATTTCTCCTTCATGGCATTTTTGAGAGTTGGAATCTCCTGTTTCAGCCCTAACTGACAAAGTCCAAGCTCTAAGAGAAGTCCTAGGCCCATGGTGGTGAACCTATGGCATGCATTCTGCAGCAGACTGTATCACTGCTATCTCTAAAAGGTTCGCCATCACTGTCCTAGGTGGTGGGCATGGGAGCCTGGGCTCAGGGGTCAGTATCAGAACTGAAACCTGCTAGAGGAAGGTAAGGGGTTGAGGAAGAGGAGGCTGGACTGACCCCAGTGGTCGCTTGCTTTCTGTGGGATCTGGGCCTCTGTGTTCTCCTCTTCTGTAAGTGGCATATGGACCTCAGTCAGTGCTCTGGCCCACAGAGGTGACTTGGGTCTGGGCGTCAGCACCACAGACAGCTCCCCCATGGGCTGCTGCTCTGCAGGTGGCTGCAACTTTGGCCTCTGCCCTCTCACTTCTGCTGGTTAGACCACAGTCCAAAGGAGGAGTGATTTACTCCCATGACCCCCACGGCCATGAGAAGGGAAGGACAATCACTCCCTGGCCATCTTCAGTGCATGAGGTGCTCTTCATAGATCACCTGGGGCAGGCATCCCAGCTTTGCATGGAGCAGAAACTGACCCAGCTGGGTCACCACCCCATGTCACATAATGTGCCCCTGGACATGGCCGCCTTCCACATCTGTAAGTTTCTGGGGCCATGTCTCAGTGCTTTCCAACCCCTCTGGTACTCAGTACTGCTTTGGTTAATCCAGTGAAGATTCACTAATGCTGCTGTCAGCGGACAGATCAAAGTGTTCTGAGGGAAAACAAGCACAAGGAATGTCTGTGGTTGGGTTTTACCAGCTTCAGGAAGCTTCACTGAGGAGCATAACTTCTGCCACCTGTCAAGGCCACAGCTGGGGACTGTTGCTTCTCCTCTGGTCTAGTGCCATGGCTGTGTGCTTGGAAAGGTGCCTACGAGCTGAGTATGGTGGTGCTTGCTTATAATTCCAGTGACTATGGGAGACTGAGGCAGGAGGATCTTGAGTTTGAAGCCAGTTTAAACAACTTAACCAAACTCTGTCTCAAAATATGAGAAAGTGGGAAGGCCCTAGATTCAACCCCTAGTACCACAAAAAGGAAGGAAAGAAGGAGAGGAGATGCCCTGGCTTGCAGTTACCCCTTCTCCTGTGTGTGACCTTAGCCACTGGCAATGCCAGACATGGGAGAATAGGGCCAGCCTCTGTGCCCCAAGGTAAGGAATGACCTGGTGCCATTTGTGGGTCAGGCTGAGGAAGGATGCCACTCAAGCACATAGTACTTCCCAGCTCTGCCTCCTTCCTCCCTGAAGGCTTTTTCTGAGAACACTACCCCCCTCAGCTTCTAGGCTCCCTACTCAGGCCTACTCCTAGAGCCTGCCTGAGACATGTGCCACCTGTATGTCTTGTGAATCAGGGCCACAAAACAGTCTGTAGTGCCAAGAGCCTGTTGCCTGACTCTGCAGCGGCCCAGGCTGGGCCCACAGGTGGAACTGGGAACTCCTCCATATGTCTAGGGGGCAGAGTTTCCAGCCTGGGTGCCAGGCAGAGATCAGAATCCACGAGTGACTCAGGGGGAGGGAAGAGAAGAGAGAGAGAGTGCTAGGAGTGTGTGAGGGTGTGGCCTTCATGCTGCCTGTGACTAAGTGTTCTGTCCTCTAGGGTGTGGTTGGAATTTCTAGGCACTACTGTTTCCTGCATCCTGCAGGAAGCCATCACCGACTGTCCAAACTCACTTCCACATTGCCCTGGGGGAACCTTGGCCTTAGAGGAGCTGTGCCCCTCCTACCTCCATCCCCCAGGGCTCTCGTGACTCAGTCCAGAACTAGTGACCACTTATCAAGGAGGACAGTGCCACATGTCCATGGCTGTGCCCATGCTGGCCCTGGCACCTGTTGGGCACAGACATGTGAGAGGGTCCATGCAGGAGGGAACACAGCCCGGGGGGGAACCCTTCTGGGTGCACTTTCTTGAGGTCTGTGATTCCTCATTGCCTCTTGTTCAATGGGTAGCCACTTGAGCAGTGCTTACAGGACAGAAAAGCTGCCAAGAAGAGCATAGTTGGCCGCATGGAAGGTAGGGACCACAGGCTTCATCTAGAGGCAGCTAGCTCTGCCTGAGATGGTTGCCCCTGCATGTGCCATCTACTTCCCCAGTCCTCAGCACAGGATCATTCCAGGTTCCAAAAAGAAGATAAAAAGCAAAGCATGTAGAGGCCTGGGACTTCCCACGGTAACACCCACAAGCAACAGGGTCAGTATTGTACCTGCATATAAGCCCAGAACCTAACTTCTAACCGGGCCAGCCTGTTCCTCCTCTGAGGATGAATGGATGGATGAATGAATGAGGAAACCAAGAGAGTGCCAGGAGGAGATGGCAGAGGTTTGGAAATTGGCTCTTGAATCCTCAAATGGACAGGAGGTGTGGAGGTCAGGGAGACCTAACAGCTAGGATTGTCTGGCCCTGCCCAGAGGTGGGACCTTGCATAGCTTGAAAGAAGGCCCGGGCTGTAAGTGCAGCCTGGAGCTCTTACCAGAGGGTCTCCTGGGAAGCCCAACCCTGCCTCTTCTGAGGGCTTTACTTTGCCCTCCAGGGTTGGCCAGTGGGAGCAGGTGGACACACCCTTCTGGGACCCTCTGGAACAGGGGCTATGGAATCTGACAGTGGCAAAATCTGTTGGGATATCAGAATCTTAATTCCATGCTCTTGTGCAGTATCTTTGGTTGGTGGGAACTGTGAATTCACATGTTTAGAATCAGCACAGTGGAATATTAGAATCGTGGAAAAGCTGACTGCTGCATTCACAGGCAGTATGAAAGTTGCTCTGGCTGTTAAAGGTAATGCATGTTAAAGACCCAGCTGGCCTCAGCATTGACATTGTGTGATCTTGTTCTATACATTATGGGTGCTTACCTGAGGCTGTATGTAGCAATATTTATGACATAAAGTATAACAACATAGTGGCCTTCTGTTAGCGTCCTCCTGACCCAGGAATAGAAGTGACCACTACCCACATTCTTGGGCAGCCCCACCTGCCCCAGCATTTGCTTCTCCCCAGTACAACCTGTCCCTAAATTTGATGTCTGTTATTCCTTTGCTTTCATGTAGTTTTAAATGGATTTACATCATTTCATACAGACAATGTTGCTAAAATGTGTTTACTGCTAAACAATGTACTGTTTAGTTTTGCTTACTTTTTAGCTTATAAAAATCATGCCATAATATTTGTATTCTTCTGAGACTTGCTTTTTAAAATCTAGCTTTGTTTCGGAGGCTCAGCCATGTGCTTATGCTCAGCAGTGGTTCATATCTTCACTGAGGCATGAAATTACATGGTGTGAATGGATCCCAATTGTGAGGCGTTTCTGGGCTTTGGTGATATGAACATGCCATGAGCACCATTCCTGGTTCCTGGTTCCTGGTTCCTGGAAGGGGAGTGGGGCTGGTGCGTCTCTCAACCTGCATCACCAATGTAACGTGGGTCTTGGGTGCCTGGGTGGCTGGGCTTTGGCAGAGGACATGGCAAATTACCGGAAGTGGCCATGAGTTCTCACAGTCTTGCTGGCAGTATTTGTGCTCACTTTGATCTGCTCGCTGTCTTCCCAATATTCCATATTGTCAGACTCCTTAATTTTTGCCAATCTGCTGGGTGTAAAATAGTATCTAATTGTGGCCTTCATTTGCATTTCCCTGATTACTAACGAGGCTAGATTTTTCATATGTTTATATTTGTGTTTCCTTTGCTGTGAAAAGTCTGTTCAAGCCTTTTGCCCATCTTTAAAATCAGTTGTTTGTGGTTTTTTTTCTGCCTTAATGGCTCTGGAGTGTCTGCACACACATATATATGTACATGCATGTGCCCTGACCTCAGTCTAAGCCTCTTGGACCATATGGCTGTAAAAATAGCGCCCTGGTCACAAATTCTTTCTCACTTGCCTGATGAGTCTGTTGATGGCTGTGGGCTGTGTGCCTCACTTGGAAACTTCCTATATGCAAGGACTGAGAGACATTCTTCCTTGCTTCATTCTGAAGATTTCACATTTTGCCTTTGGTGTTTCCCCTTGGGTGCCCAGCCCTGCAGTAGCACCATTTCTGTTTCGGACCCACTAAGTCTGGTCTCTTTATTTTCCTGCATCTCTCTCTGCCTGTGAGTCACCATCCTTTGCAGCAAATGAGAAGACCTGGAGTATTGTTTTGCTCTTAGGTTTTAAAGTAATGCTTCTGCTAAAAATATTTATTTTAGATTTATTGTACCTACTTCTTAGCAGATTAAGGAAGTTTGCTAAGTGTTTTAGAAGAGTTTTTTTGTTTTGAATCCTGGATGGACTTTATATTAGCCCACCTTATATTACTACAACAAAATATGTGAAGGTGGTTATAAAGAAAGAAATTTATTTAGCTCATAGTTTTGGAGGCTGAAAGTCCAAGATCACATGGTGCCCTTTTGGTTTGGAGTCTGGTGAGTGCCTAATGGTGGATGGTGTCAGGCAAGAGTGCATCTGGCAGGGACAGACCATGTCACAAACAAGAAGCCGGAGGGCCATTCAGAAGTCAGTCCCAGTCTTTCTAATGATCTGCTCCAAGAGGCCAGAATTTCCTCCCAGGAACCCTAGTAGGCCCCACCACTTAAAGATCCAACTATCTTCCATATCTGTACACAAGGAACCAAGCACACGAACCTTTGGGGGACACGTTCAAACACACCTCAATCACTCAGTGAGCTGAAGTGTTTAAGTTTCATCAGGTTCTTTACTTTTGTTTATGCTGAACCCATTGCTTAGTTTTGGCTTTTAATCTGTTGCTATGAATGTCATGTAGATTTTCTACCATTAAACCATCCTTGCATTTCTAGGGTAAATTCAACTGGGTAAGAAGCTATAATAGTTAACCTTCACTGATGGATCTAGTTTGATAATGTTCCATTTAAGACCTTTGCCTCTAAATGAACTTCTGCATTTCCTTGCTTTCCTGATCTTCTCTGATTTTGTATCAAGGTTGAATCAGTCTCACCAAATGAGTTAGAGATTATCTTTTTTTCTTTCTTAATATTTATGTTTAGTTGACAAATGCCAGA